ATGTGTATGAAGTGATGTTGTAGAATAAGTACTGGGAGAATAAACACAAATCTGGCAGTTCAAACCAGCCAGCTGTTCCTCAGAATCCCTATGCAAGGTCACTATGAGTCAGAATTGACCTGATAGCACGTAACAACAACAACCCTTTCTTAACTTACTTTTTCAGGGGATACTGAGATAGTTTTGGTAGAAGCTTAAAGGTTTGAATGTAAATTTTAATAAAGTCTGAAACAGAGCACTGCTGACATTTATGGACGTCATATCCCAAAGAGTCTTGGGAACTGATTAAGAAAAGAAGGAGAAACTGGAAGTATCTTTTGAGTTAAGTACACTTTTAAAATTGTTCTGTTTTACCAATTAGGCCATGTTGTTGTTGTTAAGTGCTATGAAGTCGGTATATAGTTAGGTCAGCACAAAAGTTAGAAAACTGCTGTTACAAAAGGCAACTTTAAATTTAACATGGATTCTAAGACTCAAGTCAAAACTTTAAAATGGAATTGAGAAGGGGTGGTACACATCCTGGTCCCATTTTGTCACCAGCACAATTATACAGAACCTACTCTGCATCATGTGTTTGAGTTGCTGGGTTAAATTAAAGCAATATAGCATCTGAGGGCATGATAGCTCTTGGGGAGTGTCATAGCATGAGCACTACGGCCCATTTGAAGGTGACATGGAGTTTAATTTTAGCACTGGCATGAAATGGTAATCAGGTACTGGAGTAGCTAGCAAATCTGAATTTTCATGAACAGCTCATGGTGTTGGATGAAGATCCAGCATTCAGTTAAGGTGCTGCACTAGCCAAGGATAGGACTAAGTTGACAAAAAAGGTTTTCAAGTCAATCTTTAGTGGGAGTAACAAATAGCAACAAATAGACCTAAGAAGGGCTTCACAAAGAAGGAAAATAGTTTCCCAAAATAAATCAGGGCAATAAGCATACAAATTATAAACTTTTGTCATCAAATTGATTCTAACTCATAGTAACCCTATAAGACAGAATAAATTGAAGAGTTTACAGACTTCAAATCTTTACAGAAGCAGACTGCTACATCTTTTTCCCATGCGAGGCTGAGGGGTTCAATCCACTGACCTTTAGGTTAGCAACCAAGAATGTTAACTACTATTTCACCAAGTCTCCTTATATAAATTATAGCTATATCAGAATAAATTTCTGGGGTTTTCATGTCAGAGATTATTAAAATGGCTAGTAAGAACAACAGACATATGGTAGCAGTGTTAAAGAAAAACAGGTATAATAAAACTTCTGGGCAATGAATGCATAAAGACTTTGTTGTTTGTTGTTGTTAAGTACCGTCGACTCAATTCCAACCCACAGTGACCCTGTACAGGGTTTATGAGGAGTGGCTGGTGAGCTTGAACTGGCAACCTGTGGTTCAAACTGACTTTGCAGTCCAGCACATTAACCCTTGTTGTTGTTGTTGTTGTGAAGTGCCATCGAGTACTTGTCCATAATTTAAGGACTGGTGTCAAAAGACAGATCCAGCATTCAGTTAGGTTGACTCAGACAATCATATGGTTCACAATGCCAGAAATGACAAATTGACGAGGAATGGGGTCACATTAATTGTCAAAAAGAACATTTCAAGATCTATCTTGAAGTACAATGATGTCTGAAGATAATACCCATATGCCTACAAGGAAGACAAGTTAATATCAGTATTATTCAAATTTATGTACCAACCACTAAAGCCAATGATAATGAAACTGAAGAATTCTACCAACTTCTGTCATCTGAAATTGATCAAACATGCAATCAGGATGTATTAATAATTACTGGTGATTGGAATGGAAGGTTGGAAACAAAGAGGAAGGAACAGTAGTTGGAAACGGTGGCCTTGTGATATACAAGAAGAGGGAAATTGGCAAAAGAATGATGAAGATGGCTAAAATCACAACAAGATATACAAGGTCTAAAGGGGATAGAGATAAATAGTGATATATATACATACAACTTGGAGTCCTGGTGTGGTGCTGTGGGTTAATGCACTGGACTGCAAATTTGGTTTGAATAGCAAGTTTCAAGCTCACCAGCCGCTCCTCAGAAACCCTATTTAGGGTCACTATGGGTCAGAACTGATTAAACAGCATACAACAACATACACAACCTTTAACAAAAGTGTTCTTCGGGTAGATACATGGACAGAGACACAGACTGAATGGGAGGAAAAGTGTAAGTATAGCCACAAATATATATATGAGTTTGAAAGAGAATATTTGTACATGAATATTTACCTTTCCTGCAAACACAGCTAAGCATGTAGTGGGCATACAGAAAGTAAAACAATGGAAACTTCTTAGACATTATCAAATATTGTAAGGCAACGAGTTGCTGGGCTTGAAAGCTCAGGACCATAGTCTCAGGGGGCACCATAGTCATTCGGCATAACATAGTCCACAAAGACAATGTTCTTCATCCACCTTTGGTGAGTAGCATCTGGGATCTTCAAAGCTCATGAGAGGCCATCTAAGGTACATCTATTGGCCGGGAAGGGTGAGACAACAACACTAGTAAGGGATGCTCACCATGGAATGTTCAGTCATTCGAAATCAAAAGGGCAACATTTACCTAAGGACAAAGTTGAGAAGGGATGGGAAGATGGGTGGACTGGAAATAGGAACACAGGGAGGAAGCAGGATAACAGTTATTGTATGGAACGGATTACAATCATTGAAATGAAACAAAGTGCATGATTTGTCGAAAGTCAAATTAATTATCTTGTCTGTAAACCTTCACTCAATTAACAATTTTACAAGTTTTTTTTTAAAAAAAACACAAAAACGTGGTCTTGATGATAGAAATTATCCTGGAGATTGCGTGATAGAATTTCACAACACCAATGATTTATTCATTGCAAATGCCTTTTCAAACAACATAAAAGGTGACTATGGTAGCATAGTGGTTACGATTCAGGCTGCTAACCTCAAGGTCAACAGTTCGAAACTACCAGCTGTTCCATGGGAGAAAGATGAGGCTTTCTGCTTCTGTAAAGATTTATAGCCTTGGAAACCCTGTACAGGATCACTATGAGTCGGAACCAACCATACACATTGACCTCACCAAACGGAAACCATGGTAATCAAATTGACTACATCTGTGGGAAGAGAGTGGAAAAAGCTCAATATCATCAATCAAAATAAGGCCAGCGGCAGACTGTGAAACAGACCATCAATTACTCATATGCAAGTTCAGGCTAAAGCTGAAGAGAATAAAAACAAATCCATAAGAGCCAAATATGACCTTGAATATATCCCACCTGAATTTAGAGACCATTTTAAGAACAGGTTTGATGCGTGTGACACTAATGAAGGAAAACCAGATGAGTTGTGGGATGACATCAAGAACATCATAGATGAAGAAAGCAAAAGGTAATTTAAAAACAGGAAAGAAAAGACCAAAATGAATGTCAGAAGAGACTATTAAATTTGCTCTAAAGCAAATGTTGGAAATGCGGAGGTAAAAAAGCTGAACAGAAAATTTCAAAGGGTGTCTTGAGAAGACAAAGCCAAGTATAATGAAATGTTTAAAGATCTGGGGTTAGAAAAACAAAAGGAACACGCTCAGCATTTCACAAACTGAAAGAACTGAAGAAGAAAAAAGAAAATCAATCCTCAATTTACAATATTGAAGGTGTTCCACTGTGGGTTAATGTGCTAGACTGCAAAGTCTGTTTGAACCTCAAGGTTGGTGGTTCAAGCTCACCAGCTGCGCCTCAGAAACCCTATGAGTCAGAACCAACTAGATGACACTTAACTCATAGTCAAAATATTGACTGAAGCAGAAAGCATCAGCTCCACTAATTGTCTTTCAGGCAGTCTTGATTTTGTATCTGTAGTTCCACCTACAAGTGTACAACTACATGGAGTCCTGGTGTGGTTCTGTGGATTAATGCACTGGACCGCAAAGTCGGTTTGAATTTCAAGGACGGCGGTTCAAATTCACCAGCCGCTCTTTGGAAACCCTATACTGGGTCGCTAAGAGTTGGAACCGACTCCACGGCATTTAACAAGTACTGTATAGGACTCCTGGACTGAGAATCACAATCTCAGCGGTACAAATCCACCAGATGTTCCTGGGAACCCTATCAGGGTCGCTATGAGTAGGAATCGACTGGACTGCACTTAACAAGTATAAGCATGCTTGTTTCTTTATTGCCCAACCAAGTAGCCATCTTCATTATTAATTTGGACATCGTTTCTGGTTCAGACCGTCTCTTGACTTACACTAAATCTCTTCATTTTATTTTTATGAAGTGTGTGTTTTCATTCTAGGGCAGAGTGCAGTGAATTTATGTTAATGGAGAAGGAACCATTGAGAAAACGAAGGTAAAGATGGCTGCACAACTAGAAGAATATAGTCAATAGGGCAGAATTGTAAATGCAGAAACTCTTGAGTTGGTATATGTTTTTGCTGTGTTTATTCACAACAATAACATAAACATGTAAAAATTTTTAACCACATTGGGCTTGGCGCCCGTATATCTTGGGAGGTCCATGAGGTCAACATAATCTTATTTTTATTTCCAACAGCAGGAGAAAGAAGATGCATTAGAAAATCTAATGGTCTGTTACAATACGACCGTGCTTTCCCAGCGGCCTTGAAGATGGGATAAGGAAACCCAGAACTGGGGGTATCCATCCCTCAGGTTAAGCCAATTAAGCACAGCGCTGAATACAGAGGAACAACCTGCGAAGGCTCTAGGGTGCAACCGAGTGAAACTCTCGCGAGAGTCTCCTGACTGCCGCGAGCACCAGTTCCCGTGACCTATCCTAGCGCGCCAACAGGCAGTCTCTTCTCCGTTGACTTCCGCTACTGCGGGGCGGGCCGGGCCGGAACTTTTGTTCATGGGAACCGGTTTACACAGTAGTGTTGTCGGCCGGCATCAAGGAGACCAAGGTGCCATCCTCTTCCTTTTACCGTTGCCGCCGCAGAGCGGAGCCGGGCTGATTATAGTCGCGGAGCTCGGTTACTAGGCGGGCTGGGTCTATGGTCGCTCCGCGGGCCGTCCCGTCGGCTGGTGCTTTTTTATCAGGGCAAGCTGTATTCCATGGCAGGGAACTTTTGGCAGAGCTCCCACTAGTAAGTGATATCCCGTGTTCCCGTCCAAAGCCGTCACTTAGGTGGTCTTTGAGGACCGGGCCTGCAACTCTACTTGGCCTGCCTCCTGGTCCCTGCCCCGAGCGCCTTGAGGTCCTCCCAGGAAATCGCCGGCAGCCTGAAACGGGTTGCGGTTTTATGAGATGCTCCCTGCCCTCTGACCCGCTTTCGAGGAAGGGGCTCAGTCTCAGAGAAGTGAAGGTTAAGGAGTTTAATTTCGGATTATTGGGTTATCTACACCCGAGGATGGAGGGCTGGTAGAGGACAGGGTGATGGGCCCAGGTATAGGCAGTGAGTGCCTCACTTGTGGCCTGTGAGACTAGCTCTCCAGGATGGCTGTTGCTTGCCTTTGCCTGGGGTCACTTCAGAGGATCTGGAATGTGGTTCTTTTGTCATTCACCTTTAATAATATTATTGTTATGGTTATTATTATTTATGTTATTATTGCTATAAGCTAAGCTTGTTTCTGATCAATAACTGTTTGCTGTCACTACCTTATGCCTAGATTGAATTTTATGTTGATAGGTTATGCGGCAGGTACTTTGAAGATTTATCCCTATTACTAGTCTGTGCTTTTTTATCTTGTGTATTTTCCAGTGATTTTTGTTTGCCAATTTCTTGAAGCTTGCTTCATAAATAGCTTTTGTTTTAGTGACCATGGAAGAGTTAGAATAATATTAAAAACATTTTCCCCTAAATACATTTGTCTTAAGCAGGCACGAAGGTGTGTGACGGGGTTAATTCAACGTTGACTAGACTTTACTGGATAGTGGAAAGAGGAACAGAATGTGATAAGATTAATTTTAAGTAATTTTTAAAGCTAAGAGTATTAATAATTCATTTTAACTTTTTGATTTTGTGAATAGCATCGATTCCTTTTCTTTCTTTTTAATTCTTTTTTTTTTTCTCCTTTGCACACAAAAAAATTAACAATGGACTCATAAATCTATTTTCAAGAAAGCAGGTTTCCACCACAAAACAAAACAAAATTTTCATGGAAGGAGGCATGCCAAGTTTCTGGACGATTCAAGCTGCTAATCCCACCGTCAGCAGTTCGAAACTACCAGCTGCTCCGTGGGAGAAAGATGACGCTTTCTGCTCCAGTAAAGATTTACAGACGCGGAAACCCTGTACAGGATCGCCATGAGTCGTAACCAACTCCATGGCACACGACAACAACATACATTATAAATATTTCTTGTTTGAAAGTGATTCTGTGGAAATGAAACGCTATTGAAGCTTTGCTAATCATATTTTTATGTTGTACAGCTTTTTCACTCATTGAAATATTTGCTTTTTGTTGTTAATTGTCGTTGAGTCGGAAACGACTCATAGCAACCCTGTATGGGTTTCCGAGGAGCGGGTGGTGAGTTTGAACCACTGACCTATTTAGCAGCCCAGTGCTTATCATATACTACACCAGGACTCAGAAATATATGCTGTTGATTGGCAGCTTTCAGCTTTTAGAAAAGAGACCCTGCTCCCCTTTAGATGAGTTTTCTCATTTACTGTCGGCATTATACAGGTGTGGTTCTGTGGATTAATTTTTTTTTTTTTTCCCACTTCAAATGTATAATTATTATTATAATATTAAATGTAATTTTTTAGATTGTCCCTACCTCTCAATTCAAATAGGTAGGGGGCCGCTTTATTTCACTTAACTCCTTTGAGAACCATGGAGAATCTGCAAAAAATAACAATTATTAAAATACAAGACAATTGTGAACAAACAAAAAGTTTACGAAAGGGTCATATTAGAGATTTTGGTGAAAGAGGAAAATTGACATGAAATAATCTGGATTTCATGGCATATAAGGCTTTCACTTAACCAACTCTATGGCACTTCACAACAACAACAAGGCTTTCACGGGAGTCCTGCTGTGGCGCTGTGGGTTAATGCGCCAGACTGCAAAGCCGTTTGAACTGCAAGGTCGGTGGTTCAAGCTCACCAGCTGCTCCTCGGAAACCTTATCGAGTCAATTGCACTTAACAACAACAACAACAAGGCTTCCACATTTCTCTGAATTGCGTGAAATACTAATGAGTCTTAAAATCAATGAAATTGTAATATTGGTGAAATGAGGTTTTTACAAGTCTTCTTGGTTTATTCTCCATACAAATACTGTGATAAAAACTTCTTAAATACTTGCTTTCGCAAATTACCATTTTGAAATATAAAATAACTGTAGAAATGAAATGAATGTATATTCCAGGGCAGAGCAAATCAATATAGTGGAGAAAATTTAGGTAGCACATTAACAAAATACATTCTTTTATCACAATGTAGTAAAACTAGAAAGGCATTAAATACTAGTCAATTCAATGCATGAACAGGTAACAGAAAATAAAAGCTGTAAAACCAACTCTGGATATTGTATCCAAGAGGAAGCTAAAAATATACTTGCATAATATCTAGAAAATAATATATGACATCAATCCATAGCATTTTCTATAGGATATAGCTATACTGAAGGAGCTCTGGTAGCGTAGTGGTCGAATCGGGCTGCGAACCTTAAGGTCAGTGGTTCGAAACTACCAGCTGCTCCGTGGGAGAAAGATGAGGCTTTCTACTCCCGTAAAGATTTATACCCTCGGAAACCCTATACAGGGTCGCTATGGGTCGGAACCGACTCGATGGCACATAACAACAACAACATAGCTATACTGAACTTAAGAAAATTTAAATATTGAATAACTGAGAAAGAATAAAAAATTTAAATTCTGCTTAACAATATTTAAAAATAAACATTGTAACAAACCTAAAGTTATTGGAGAGAATAAAGATAACACGTTATTAAAAGGAAAAAGATTGTCAGAAATTACAAACACTTTTGCTTTGGAAACAAGAACCAAGACAATGAGCTAAACTACTGATTGGGACGAGGAAAAAAGGGATGATTCAAAAATAAAAAAATATATATGTGAGAAAGGTAAATTAACCCAGATATATCTTTGGGCTATCTTTATGGTGTAAGTTTAAAAGCAAATTGAGATTTATCAGCGACTCTTATAGACATGCATACGGTCCTTGTGTTATTTCACAGGTAAATTTCCCCTCACTTTAAGTGATTCATAACTTTGCTAATGAAATTAATTCAGTTCACACAGAAAAAAAATGCTTTCCAGTTCTTATCATAACAATAGGAGCTGTGGTAATATAGTGGTTACGAATCGTGCTTCTAACCTCAAGGTCGGAAGTTCGAAACTACCAGCTGTTCTGCGGGAGAAAGATGAGGCTTTCTGCTCCTGTAAAGATTTAGCCTTGGAAACCCTGTGCAGGGTCACTATGAGTCTGAACTGACTCCACGGTACTTAACAACATCATAACAATGCATATTGGTATTCATTGGAATACCAGTTCACTGGTAATAAAGTATTACCAGATGGCATCCAACATATAAAAGTGTAGTAAAGCACACCAAAGTACAGTGCTCCATTAAAAAAAAATCTTGTAGTTAAGTGCCATTGAGTCAATCCAGACTCAGCAACCCTGTATAGGGTTTCTGAGGAGCAACTGATGGGTTTGAACTGACAACTTGTGGTTCAGTGTCCTATGCTGATTCTACAGTACAAAAGGTCAACAATTACTCTAAAGCAAAGATGAGAAGATAAGGGGACAGGGAAAATAGAATACTGTAAATGGAACAACCAGGATGCAATTTAAAATAACATATTGTGAAAAATATAACTAATATCACAACAAATTGGATGTCATTGCTGTTAAAAGAATACTTATTTTTCTGTATAAATTTTAACTGAAAGAATTGTAAAAGAATTTAAAAAAATAAACATGCTGTCACTGAAAATTTGAAGACATCATGCTAAAGATGTTAAAGAAACATCTTTATATCAGAGTCTTGCAGTCAGTAAAATGCAACAACATAGTGACAAACTGAGGGGGGAAAAGATAAGAATTTTTTCAGACCATATTTATGTTTGTAAATGAGATGATTTAGGTAAAAAGCATCTTTTATCTAAATAAAAGATGATAAAAGGCATCTTTCAGGGTGACTTTTTACACTGTGTTTGTACCTTAATATGAACAGCCTATCTTGAAATGTTATCTGAGACATAGTTAATGAACTTTTTTACAGCATGTCTTAACATTTATTTCAGTTTGCAATGGATTTTGGATAAACAAGACCTTTTGAAGGAGCGCCAAAAGGACTTAAAGTTTCTCTCAGAAGAAGAGTATTGGAAATTACAAATATTTTTTACAAATGGTAATTTTTTTTTCAATTGATAACTTCTGAACTAAAATATTTTGTATGGTAATTTGTGATGAACTGCTTTCGTCCATCAGATATTCTTTTTACAATTTACATTTATTTTTCTTTCTTTTTAATTATCTGAATTAAGTGTTTTATAAATTTTGTATATCAGAGATAACCCCTGAAATTTGAAAGTGTAAAAATCTCCCTAAACCTTTATAATGCATTTTTAAACCCAGGTTACAGCTGACAAAAGCAAAATACTTTGAGGATAATTGCTTCTCTGTATTGACATTCTATATTGGCCATTCCTAATGTATAATTTTGCTTTGAGAAGTGTTAGATATAATTGGCTTGATTATTATTGTTAAGAGCTGTTGAGTTGATTTGAATTCATTGCAACCCTGTATAGGGTTTCCAAGCGACTGGTGAGCTTGAACTGCTGACCTAGTGGCTAGCAATCCAGTGCTGATCCTACAGTGCCACACCAGGGGTCCAACTGGCTTGATGTCAAATATTTTCATTTTTATTCAGAAGATAATGTAAAAAGCATTGAAAATATTTAGATCGTAGAGGAGAAACACCTATCATTCATTCTCCTTGTTGTTGTTGTGTGCCGTGGAGTCGGTTCCGACTCATAGAGACCCTGTACAGGGTTTCCGAGGCTGTAAATCTTTAAGGGAGCAGAAAGCCTCATCTTTTGCCCGTGGAACAGCTGGTAGTTTCGAACTGTTGACCTTGTGGTTTGCAGCCCAATTCGTAACCGCTACACTACCAGAGCTCCTTTGTAATAATTTTGACTAGGAGCTGATTTCAGTTTTTTTGTGTGTTTATGCATATATATTTAAAGGTCCCTGGATGGCACAGGTGCTTTGCACTGCCCACTAATTTAAAGGTTGATGGTTCAAACCCACCCCCGGCAGCACCATGGAAGAAAGGCCTGGTGATCTGCTTTGGGAAGATTACAGCCAAGAAAACCCTATGGAACTCTTCTGCTTTGTAATACATAGTTTCATGAGTTACAAAGTAGAAGAGTTCCATAACTACAAGGCCAACAGTTCAAACCCACCAAATGCTCCTTGGAAACCCCATATAAGATAGCTATGAGTCAGAACCAACTCAAGGGCACTTAGCAATAGTAGTAGTTACATGAGTTGGAATTGGTAACAGTGGATTATTTTTTAACAAATTTACAAATCCTTTTGCTAGACTTGTTTTCCAAGTAGAGCTTTATAGCGTGTGTAGGTTTTTGGGGTTTTTTTTTTCCCCTTTGTTTGGAAGTTATTGTTAAATGCTAATATTGTAATTTATTCTTTTCCATTCAGTTATCCAAGCATTAGGTGAACATCTTAAATTAAGACAACAAGTTATTGCCACTGCTACAGTCTATTTCAAGAGATTTTATGCCAGGTAAGGCTGTTTTATTTTACTCTGGGTATATGTGTATTTGAAACTCTTGTCCAGTATTGATGAACTATTTATAAATGCATCATATGTTTTTAATAGTTAGCTTGACTTTTTTCAATATGTTTCCTATGAACAACATTTAACTTTGTTCTATATTATCTTAGATATTCTCTGAAAAGCATAGATCCTGTGTTAATGGCGCCTACATGTGTCTTTTTGGCATCCAAAGTAGAGGTATGAAATAATTTTCTGTTCCTCATTAAAGTGTAATCAATGTGTATTGTTTAATGTGTCTGAGTCTTCATATTATCTATAGTGAAAATTGTACTAGATGGTGCTTTATACAAAATATTGATTTAGTACAAAATCAAAGACACATATGTTGTGCTGTCGAGTCGATTCCAATATATATAATATAGTAACTATGTATAATATTTCTGAGGCTTTAAAACTTTGAGGGAACAGAAAGCCTCAACTTTCTCCTGATAGAAGCACATACATATCTTTATATATATTCATTTAGAAGTCCATTGACTTTATACAGTAATTATTGGACTTCAAATAACAAGGTTGGCAATTCAAGCCCACCAGCCTCTCCTCTGGAGAAAGATGACACTTTCTGGTCACTTGAAGATTTAAAGCCTTGGAAACCCATACAGGGTCATTATGAGTTGGAACCAGCTCGACAGTATATTCATTTGTTGTTAAGTTCTGTCGCATTGATTCCAACCCATAGCAACCCTATATAGGGTTTCCAAGGAGCAGCTGGTGAGCTTGAACCACTGACCTTGCAGTTCAGCAAGTACCACACCAAGACTCCATATATTCATTTAACAAATGTATAAGTAGCAATTACTGTGTACCAGGTATTATTCTCAGTTCTTGTATATATATTAGCTGATTTAATTCTCAACTGATTTAATTTTCCAATAAGGAAAGAGAGGCAGAACGAGGTTAAGAAACTTGCCCAAAATTAAGCCGATAGTTGGCAGAGTCAGTACTTGAATCCTGGAAGTCTGGCTCTTGGTCTGATGCTCTTAACCTCTAAAACCCTTAATTGTTTGGCACTAGTTAAGTATTCAGTGAGTGCCACTGCTTCTCTACTGAGAGTGTCCCTCCTCTCCTATATATGCTTCCTATTCCATCTTCCCTCCTGCCTCCTGATGATTGCCTACCTATAAAGCCATTGCTGTTAAGTGCTGTCAAATCAATTCCAACCCATAGTGACCCTGTATAGGGTTTCCAAAGTAGCTGGTGAGCTTGAACTGCCAACCTTGCTGTTCAAACTGACCTTGAAATCCAGCGCATTAACCCACAGCGCTACACCAGGACTCCTACAAAGCCATAGTGGAAACTATAAGAAAGGTGAAGATTAGGGGTGGCTGCATCTTCTCCCAGAAAGATTTACAGACCCTGTACAGCAACGGTAGAAAACCTTTTTTCTGCCAAAATTTATAACTTCACGGGCCATACAAAATTATCAAATTTAAAATGAGCCTACTATATTTGGCTAAACATTTAATTAACTCATCCCTAATGGAAGACCCCTCCCAACGAGATGGGATTGGCCAGGT